CCCCTCTCTGTGATGTCACCGATACGTTCATTCAGATATTTCCAGGCTGTTTACTCCTGTTGGAGCACACACAGGAATTTAAGGAAAGGAAAAGAGCACGTGGTTTAGTAGAAAATTTCCAAACACACTTGAAAGGTTCGTCCTTGTTGTTGTTACGAGTAAAACTGAAGAAGAAGTGAGTGAATCTGAGAGAGTGAGATGAAGAAGTGTTAAAAAAAAAATAGTCCAGTTTCTTAAAAATGTGTCGGATTGAAAAGCTCTTGTGAGAATGAGTATGTCTCCTGCAGGGATGTATGATAATCACATGAAACCTGATTAGAAACGAGTGGTTTAGTGGCGTTTTGGTGAAAATGCAGAGTGTAGAAAATGCACCACAGAGACTTTTGGGTCATCTTTGTGGTCAAAGTATGGAGCACATGCTTCACGTGGGAGGTTTGGAATTCCTTTTATTCGTTGGTTTTAAATATTTCCAAACGAAATTAGTGAATATGCCAAAGAAATAACTTTGATTTAAAAAAGAAAAGTTATTATTATTATTTTTCTGTCTCAGAGCAGGGAGCACAGATTGTGGGAGGATGTGATTTGAAGCTGCAGTGACAGAGGCCTGATCCGAATTTTAAAAAATGATGAATTCCATCATTTAATTTATGTTTTTCTGCTTGTGAGAAGTTTCATCTTCCCTCTGATGGAAAACGTGTTGCATGGAGCTGCTTTGTGAGCACAACTCTGTTTACACTTTCTTGTGGGAGGATGTAAAAAGTGAGGGATTGGTGGCTGGAATGCACGAAGTGAACGACAAATAACAACCCCCCTCCACTAAAGAAGAGAAAGAAAGGAGAAAAGAGAGAGACGAACCCAGTGAACCCTTTGAACTGCATTGACAGCAATGTTGGGCTAAAGGCAAATTTCCTCTGGGAGCCTAGGGTGAGGAGTGGGGGTTGGGTGAGGTTAGCTGGGGTGAGGGAGTCCAAAGTCTGCTCAGAAAAGTTGGTATTCAAACAGCTCAGGACTCCGTGTGTGTGACACCGAGGCTCAATCATCATGATCAACTATTCTCTGCTCAGGATTCAGAGATGAGTTTAGTTTCAGTTTGCAAAGATTTTACCTCCAAGGCTTTAACTTCCTGGATTATTCACTGGAACAAGGAAATAGTTTGAGGTTCAGGTTTTAAAATGGAGATTTGTGTGTTGGGTTAAATCAAAATCTTTGTGAATTCA